ATAGCCCCTGGCCAGATTAGGGATAGGTCCTGAAACTAGGTGGTTTGGGTTCCAGTCTTGAACTTTATTTTTTTAAGCTGGTCCTGGGGCTTGAACTCAGAGCCCAAGCACTGTCTCTCAGTTCTTCAGCTCAAGGCTAGTGTTGTAGCTCTTGAACCACAGTGCTGCTTCCAGTCTTCTGGTGGTTTATTGGAGATAAGAGGCTCATAGACTTTCCTGCCCCGGCTGGCTTTGAACCACAATCCTCAGATCTCAGCCTCCCAAGTGGCTAGAATTATAGGCATGAGCCATTGGTGTTTGGTCCAGCTTTTTTTTTTATATGTCTGTGGTTAATCAGAGAATCTGATGGACTTTCCTGCCTTAACTAGCTTCCAACCAAGAGCTTCAGATCTCAGCCTCTTGAGTAGCTAGGATCTCAGGCATGAGCAGTAGCTTCAACTATGGATCCTTCTGCCTCAGCCTCCATGTGCTAGAATTACAGGCATGGGCCACTTATGCCCAGCTTAGAGTCTTGTCTTACTTTGGGTCCTGAGCAGGGTCCTGGCCATTCTGGACCACATGTGTAATTTTTTTTTGGGGTCCAGCCGTGGGGCTTGAACTCTGGGCCTGGGCACTATCCCTCAGCTCTTCAGTTCAAGGCTAGAGCTCTACCACTTGAGCCACAGCGCCACTTCCGGCTTTTCTCTCTTTCTTTTTTGCTTATGTGGTGCTGAGGAATCGAACCTAGGGCCTCAGGAATGTGGGGCAAATGCTCTACCACTGAGCCACCTTCCCAGCCCCTACATGTGTAATTTCTTTCTTTCTTTTCTTTTTTTTTGGTACTGGGGATCGAACCCAGGATGTTGCACTTGCTAGGCAAGCGCTTTGCCACTGAGCTACATCCCAGCCCCACATGTGTAATTTCTGAGGGCCTTTCCATCCCTGAAGGACACAGGGAAGGGCATCATCCTGCCTGTTAAACATGGGTGGCTCTAGGATGGGGTACTTCCCCACCCTGGCCAACATTACTGCCAGCTTTGTACTCCCTTTGAAGTCCAACAAGGGCTTCTCCCTGCCAATGGCTGGCTCAAAGTAGCAGTGGGGTGGGTGGTGGTGGGAGAAAGTGCAACCAGCTTCATGGACCCAGCTTAGGTGGAGAGGCTAGTCACATCCTGGTAGGGATGAGCATGTGAACTCTAAGCTCTAGAGAGCTCCTTCTGCATTGGGTTTGTTAAAGGCCATCCTCAAATGCTGGGAGGGTGGGGTGGAGTTTGCACACAAGGCTGCTACCGGGGCTTGAACTCACCCCAGTAATTGGCTTTTTCATTCAAGGCTGGTGCTCTACCACTTGAACCACACCTCCACTTCTGGCTTGTTGATAGAGATTAAGTCTCACAGTCTTTTCGGCTCCAAACCTTGATCATCAGATCTCAGCCTCAGGATTAGTTGCGATTACAGGGGTGAGCCACCAGCACAGGGTTAAAATGCTAGTTTCCAAGTGACCTACTCCTCTGAGGCTCACACTCTCCTGTGGCCCCCAACGCTGTCCATTTAAACCAGGCCACAGGCTACTCCCAATTTCTGCCTATAACCGACCTCAAAGCCCCCGCTACAGGCTAACAGAACCCCAATTCTGGCCACACTTTGACCCTTTGGGGCTTGCGCCAGCGACCCCTTCACCTTGCCGCGGACTGACCCCGAACAAGGGAGATAACAGAGAACCATTAACCTCTGGATGCCGCGGGACCCGGTGGGGGCGGGGAGCGGCGGGCCGCGGCGGAGGGCAGAGGCTTCCCGGAGCAGCCCGGTGGCCCGAGGCCACTGTCACAAGGTCGTCGGGGCCCCGCGCGGGGCAGGTCGCAGGCGCTCGAGGAATGCGAGGGGCCTGAAAGAATGAAGGAAGGAAGGAACGGGGTGCGATCCCGGCGGCCCGCCCGGCCGAGGCAGGAAGCGGGGTGGGGGCGCGTCAGGGCTGCTGCAGCCAGGCCGAGCGCAGCTGGGGGCCGCGGGAGAGCAGCGGGGTCAGCGGCTCTGCCGGGTGGGGGGCGCCCCCCCAGGCCGGGAGTCTGGGAACGGGAGGCCGCGCTGCTGGCAGAGCGGCGGGGGCGCCGCGAGGCTCCGGATGGGCTGCGAGCCCCGCCCGCAGGCTGCGGAGGGAGCCGGAGCCAGAGCGGAGCCAGAGCTCAGACATCCGGGCGCCAGCGAACACCTGCGAGCGGCCCCCAGGGCCCGCGGGAGGGGAAGGGCGGGGGAGGGAAGGCGGGGAGCGGGCTGGGGCCGGGGGCGGGGCTGGGAAGGCTCCGCCCAGTCTGGCTCTGGGCCACGTGGGTCGAGGCTCCGCCCTGCCCCGGCGCCAAGGAGCCGCGGAGCTGGGAGCGGTTCTCTCCCACGAGGCCTGTGAGTGGGAAGCTCTGGAAGCATCTCTGCGGGAAAGAGAGGGACAGAAATTCTTAGGGTGCAGCCTGGGGACGAGTGATGGTTAGGAGAGGCGATGAGGCCGCGAAGAGGGATCATTGATGAGTGTCCTGCGCACCCACATCTAAGAGCTTTTAAAGGGTCTGCACATTCCACCACTCCGGGTGTCACAAGCATGGATTTGAGTCCTTGCTCTATTATTCGGGAATTGTGCGCTTGTGCTACACTTACTTTCTTTTTCTTTTTCTCTTTTATTTGCAAAGATGCTTCCCAAATATCTGTGCTTCAGAGCTGATAGCAAGATTCCATGAAAATGAGCGCAATACATACATTAACAGTGACCTTGCAATTTTAGAGCACTGTCTCTTACCTAAATCACAAACCATGGAAGAGAGAGGTACTGTCATTTTCCACTTTCACAAAGGCACAGATTTGACCTGGCACTTCAGGTCTTTGCTTCAACCAGTTCCCACTGGGAACCAAATATGTACTCTGTTCAGGGAAAAAGAGCCTGTCTGAAGTCAAGGTGAGAACAAGGGCTTTGAAGCTAGAGGAAAATGGCAACTCCACTCAGCCACTTCCTTGCTGGCACCAGGATCAATCTATTCAGCCTGAGAAACAGGAGTAATGATACCCATCTTGCTAAGTTACAGTGGGGATTGGGGTATGAGGAAGGGAGAAAAAAATAAAAAATGAAGCCTTAAGTCCTTCAAAAAGATGACAGAAGACACTACTCTCCCAAGAGTTATCCCAGGGCCCGATTGCTTTCACTCTCAAATGACTAATAGATGGGCATGCTGGTCTAAGCTTTTGTCCTGGCCACCTGAACTGTTCAGCCTTGGGAGCCCTGACAAGCAATTTCCTTGGAATTAGCTTAATAATACCTTGTAGGTGTGTGATGTATTCCAATGAAGTTTCCCACCATTATCTTCTGCTCTGGGAGTCAGCAGGGCAAAGGCAGTAAGAGGCTCTGGAAGGTCGTGGCTTGGGTCGGATCATGCGGCAGATGAACTGCAGCTGTCATTCCTTTCCTATCTCTGCAGCAACTCTGAGGCAGCAGAAAACAGCATGGTGTGTGGGAAGAGTGTAGATTTGAGTTCAGGTGCTTTACCCCATTGCAGTTAATGGTGTAATATGGTCCCTGGTTACTCAGAACTCCTTCCACAAGATTAGCTTCCTTTTAGGGATGTGCAAACTGAGGCTCAGGAGAGGCAATCTCTAACCAGCAGTATGGCAGGCCAGAGATTTTCATCTGTGGGATTCTTGTATTTGCTTTGCTGTGAGGATCTCTTTCACATGGGGGCTGAGGGCTTCCAGTCCTTTGGAAATCTGTTATTACTTGGTAAAATTGCGTATTGACTTTAAAGGGGCTAAGAACCTTGGCCAGGCTGGGAGGATGGTTAGCAGAGGTTGAACCTCCTCCACATGCCTGTGTTCACCTCAGAAAGCTCACAAGAGTTTAGGTATGAAGGGTGAGCTGTTTGTTATGAAATACTAAAGTAACACATGCCACGGGCCAATACACAGATGAGATCATATCATAAACAGGAATCCAGTGAAGTCAGGGGCCTGGTGTAGCCCACCTGGGGAGCTACCAGGTAGAGGGGGGTAGTAGGGTCTACATGCAGCCTTGCCCTCTCCCCAATTCCAGGCCAAGTCCCAAGCCCAAATCCTGCCCACAATCCTATGTCACTCAGCAGGAATACCATGAATAGGGACTTTGGGGACTCTTCCTCAAACTTCCAAACTCAGGTTCCATCTACTTAACATGTGAAAGGACTAGATCTGTACTTATCAAGCTAGCTTGCAAATCCTTCTGAGTACCTGCAGAGTAAGCATACAACTTACTCCTCTCTCCCCAACTTGGGGAGTCCAGGAAGAATGCACAAGGAAATGAAACCTAGCCCAGTATGCTGGGGCTATTCATCTCTGAAATGGGTCTTATCAATGATCACCCAAGACTCAACACCACTGTTACACATCCCCTGCCAGAAAGGCATCACCAATAATAAATGACATTTAAGAGGGCAGCCACCATTATAGTCTCAAGAGACCAGAGTCCCCAACTTGTGAGATGAGCTCGTGCAGGGGTTTGTCCCAGAAGGACCGTACCTCATACCAACATCTCCTATGCTCCCAACCCCCAATAGGCATGGGAGCCCCCATCATGAGAAGCTCCACTACCATCCCACCCTACCCGCCCCCTCCCTTCTAGCTGAGGAATTTTCTCATCTCCCTTTTAAGGGAATAAGCAAGTTTGCTCTTCCCCAGGAGTCAACCATGTGAAAAAGACGGCTGCCACTTAAGGAATGGAAAACTGCTTGATGAGACCATATACAAAGTGTTTAAAAAACCGTTTATTATGTGAAATGTTAACTTTTATAAAAAGTTCAATATACATCACGATTACAGAAAGTCACCTTCCTGCAAAAAAGGTACAAAAGCTATATACTCTATTATAGAGTTCATAATCAGGGTAGCAGAGCCTTTCTCCAGATCAGAAGACCAGCTCTGTCCCCACCTTGGCAGAGTTCGGGAGAGCAGCCACTCCCCTCCTCCTCCCAAAAGCCCCTCGACTCTCTGCTACGACAGTCTTTAAAAACTTGGGGGTGGGGACGGGGTGACGTTGCCCAGCTGGTGACCAGCGCTAGCTCTGGCTCTTCAGGCCACCCAAGTTCACAGTCCTTCGCTCCCGGCACCGGGTTCAGCCTCGAGGAAGGAGTTTGGAGAAGTAATGTGGACAGGCGAGAGGCTGGGGGTTCATCCATGCCCTCGGGCTTCCGGCCGGAGAGGGTCCCTGGGTCCCAGGTGTCGGAACGGGCGCCAGCACCTGCGTTCTGGGGAGGAGGGGGAAGAAGAGCGAGAGCCATCAGTTTCCGCCAGAGCGCCGGGGCGGGCCGGGGCCGTCCGCAGACTGGCCGGCGCCGAGGAGGAAACTCGGTCGGTACCTCCAGCTGATAACTCCGCGCCCCACACTGCCTCCACCCAGTTGGCGCCAAAGGACCCAAGGCGGAGCTTCCACTACCCTCCCGGTTGGAAGTGACACTAGTTGGAGGGGGGGGATTGGGGGGAGAAGGCATGGGTCCAAACAAAAGATTTTCATTTAGTCCGATCCGCGCCTGGACACATCGATCAGTGTCCACTTAGGGAAGGAACGCGGAGGGCCACGCGCGCTTCCTGCGCGTTCCGTGAACACTGACTCTGCCATGTGTTTGCAGTGCCCGGGGAACCCAGTCGCCCGCCCCTAACAGATGAAGCTGGAGCCCAGCGATCTGCCAGCTGCCGAATCCGTCCCTCCGCCAGACAAGGTAACTAACTCACCTGGTGGTGCCAGGGCAGCGGGTCAGTGGCAGAAGCTCCTCTTGTCGTTGGAAATCACCAGTTCTGGCGTTAGCTCAGCTGTCTGAGAAAGGGGGAACAAGAGGAGTTACACAAGGAACGCGGCGAGTGAGGTCGTGGGGGACCCGCAGCATCTCGGCCCCTCTTCTCTCCGCCCCAGCTCCCACGCGCACCTGGATGGGGAGATGGGGCCCGTCCGGGGGTCCCGGGGCCGGCTCGGCGAGGACCACCTGGAGGTCGAGGATGTAGTCGATGACGCGCTGCAGGATTTCCACCTGGCTAAGCTGAGTGCCTCGCGGGACTCCGGGCACCAGTTCCCTGAGGCGCGAGTAGCAGTGATTCATGTCGTCCAGGAGACTCAGGGGCTCCTCGGCCGCAGGGCTCTTGCCGCGGCCCCGCGCGATGGCCAGACTCCTTTCTGACAAGCAGCACACCGCCTCGTAGCAGCCGCGGACCGGGCTCAACGCCTTCATCTCGAGGTGGGGGGGGGGGGAAGTGAGGTTGGAGATACCCGAAGAAGAAGGAAAGCAGAGCCGGAGCTGCCGAACCAGCAACTGGAAACGCGCGCCCGCTCGCTTGCGCCGTCCTTTAAACAGCCCGTCGGGACGACACGCCCCTGTTTATGCAAATAACCCGCCAAGGTCCCGCCCCTCGTCCAAGCCCCGCCTCCCCGGCCCTGGGCGTTCACAGCCCGCTTAAATTGCTAACAGGCTTCCTCCGGCGAGTCTGACGCCGCGACCGCGGAGCCGCCGATTCAAAGAATGAGGAAGAGCTGATACTGGGAGAGGCGGGCCTCGGGCCGCCGGGATTAAAAGAGAAAAAATCACTTAAGACCATTAACTTGGAGAATTTGCCTTTTTCTGGCGGCGTCCCAGATCTTTGAGCGCCTCTGTCCCCCTTGCCAGTCACCCTGTAGCCCAGCACTGGTTCGAACCCAGAACTCCTTCGTGGTCATAAATTCCTGAACAGCTAAACAGCAACCCCTCCCTCTCCCCCTCCCTCTCCCTCTCTCCCCTCTCTCCCTCCCTTTCCCTCTCTCCTCCCTCTCTCCCTCTCTTCCTCTTCTTTTCCCTCTCTCCCTCTCTCCTCTTTCCTCTCTCCCTCTCCCTCTCTCTCCCTTTCTCTCCCTCTCTCTCTTTCTCTCCCTCCTTTTTTTTTTTTAAGCAAAAGATTTTTTTCAAGGGAAACTTGTAAGGAATTAGTGCCGCCTTGTTCCCCAATTTGCTGTTCGTCTGACCTCCAGACTCACTGGCGTCAGGAATTATCTTGTGACCAGAGGGGGAAAAAAATTAATTGCGGTGAAGCTGAGGTTACAATGAAGAAAACAGATTTTGGCTAGGCGCTGAGACTGCAGGAGGAGAGAAAGGGAGTTTGAGCAAAGAGCACTATTTTATTTGGGCAACCGGGGAAAAGGGAAAAAAGAAGAAAGTAGCCTCATCCCATGTTTTCTGCATGAAGAAAACTAACAGCTTGGATTTTTCGCCCCATAAACTCCGTAAGAAATCAAATACATGCTCAGTGATACTTTGGAAATGAATTTGATTAGAATTTTGGACAGGATTTCAAGTACAGGGGACCAGAAGAAGCAATTTCTTTTTAGCATGCCCTCTTCATTGGGTCAGCAAATTCTTGTAACTCTTGTTTCTTTACTTACACATACCCTCTCCAACACACACTTTCCACACATTTCTGTGCAGGAAACAATGGCAATTCCATTGCTCTATTGTCTGTCCCTTTCTGCTATGGAAGGGCAGCCACCTGAATTTGATTACTCTTTATCCTACTGAGGTACCTCCAGTCCTATCTGAGAGACCAGGAGAGGAACCATTAGGAAGGCAGGCTAAATCTGTATTGCAGCAAGCAGGGCATTACACTTCACTATTCATTGTTTCTCTTCTGATCACCTCCCAGGACTTTTTAGAAATTGGCAGTTCCAAAATACTGATTTCCAACTTGGAAATGATCAAGTAGGATGTCCCCAATGATTGTTTTCCTAATCAATTGGTTAGTAAATATTTATGGAGTTGCTTCACATTAAAGCAGTGACTTCTGCTCTCAAAACCTCACAATTTGGGGAGATCAGATTAACACAGGAAACAGGAGTTCAATACTGATTAACAAGACAATGTGAGCTCAGTTAGGACAGTCTCAAGACAGTCGTGGTGGAGAAAGGACATTGGACTCCCAATCTCTGGTGATGTGCCAAACATTGGTCATGTAATCTTGAGCAAACCCAGGTATCCTGGCTTTAGTTGCCCTGTGGGAAAATAAGATGATGTGAAGTGATTATTTTAAATCCTTCCCCACTGTAGAAAGTTAAGGTTTTATGGAATTTGGACAGGCAGGTGTAGGATGGCAAAGAGCCCAGAGAGGAGATCTAAAACATGCCAATCTCACACCACAAGTAATAGAAGAGCCATTCTTGAAGACTTGTTCTTTTCCACAGTAGGGCTTCGAAAGTTTTCTCCTTGGAATATTAATGTTTTGCAAGGACAGTCTTTTCAGTATAAGAAAGAGGGAAAAGTAAACCTATGAGTAGACAAGTCAACCTCTATATGCTGCAGGAGTTCAAGTGCCAAATACTTGGTCATGGGAAGGGACAACAGTGACTGTGGGGACTCACTCCCAAATGGCCAAACAGAGAACTCTTTCTTTCACTATCATGCAGACTTCTGGGATTTGTACAAAACAGATAAGCCAACAGGTTCTAGAAAAATCATGGCTATCTTCAAGTCTCCATTATTTCTTTTTACTGTGCCTCAATGTTCCTGTCTATCAAATGGAGCTAATCAAACCTACCTCATTTATTCAACAAATAATTAAACAGATGGAAGTGGTTTCACACTTAGAATCCTAGCTATTAAAAGCCTAAGATCCTTGTTTCAAGCCAGTTCCAGCAGGAGAGAGAGTCTATGAGATTCTTACCTCCAATAACCATCAAAAAGCTGGAAGTAAAGCTCAAGTGAAAAGAGCTCCAACCTTGAGCAAAAAAGGGAAGGGGATAGTACCCAAGCCCTAAGTTCAGCAACAACAAAAAAAATTCAAACAGTTCTTTAGTGCCCCCTTCATCTTCCCTTCCCTGTACCTCTTGGCCTACCCTGTACCTCTTGGCCTAGGGGCCAAGCCTGGGGCCAGGTATGTGGTGAGTGCTTAGCCCACCCAGATTTCTCATACCTCCTTACCCCTCCAGTTAATAACACTGATGCTTCAGGCATGGATAGTGTTTTATGGGTTTGCGAAGCACCTCCATATTTATTATTGACCACCATGTTTCCAGGCCGCACCTAAGACAGGAGGATGCAGGAGATTCCTAAGCAGGACTCTGTCCGTTCGTGCCCATAACTTGCCCTCGACAAATTCCTTTTCTTCTTTCTGGGCCTTATTTTCCCAGAGGGGTGGAGAGGGAGGAAGTAAGTGACCGTTAAGGGTCTTCTCCCATCTAAGATTCTAATTCTGAAAGAAGCAGGTTACGGTTGGGTTGGGAACACTGAATAGCGTTGAAACCCAAAAGACTCCCCCACCGCTTCCCCCAACAGTCTAGACCTGCTAGCTCAGGCCTTCTGCAACTTGTTTAGCAGTGGAGGGGGCCTCAGCCTCTTCTTCCAAATGCCTCTGAACTTTCTGTTCCCAGTTCTGCTCCTTTTACCAGCTTTTTCCCCCCTCTTGCATTTTTTATTTTTATGAAAGGATGTCATTAAGGCTTTTGTCTGCGCTGTTTTTGTTTCAGAACTTTTCTCACAATCCTATTTTTTGTTGAGGAATCCGCTCCTTTGCCCAGCTGTGGGTCCCGGTCCCACAGCTGTGTTGATCTAAGACTCAGCCCCAGACAGCCTGGCGCCAGGGTGGGACGTCATGCGTTCACACAGGGATGCGTGTCCCAGGCAACCTTTCCTCGGGCAGTCACCGGCCGGCGACTGCCTCCCCGACCAATCAGCGCGCGACACCCGAGAAAGGGGCGTGGCCTTCGCCGCCCGGGCCTCCGAGCCACTTGTGAATTGCAGATGCTGAGAACTTGATAACGTTCCCTGAATTGGGGCCCTTTAAACTCTTTTCTTTTTTTTTTTTACCCCTTTTTTTCTTTTAGTTCTTTCTTTTCCCTCTTTTGTGTATTCTCTTTCTACCTCCTTCTTTTGTCTATAAATGTATATAACTTTCTCTCTTTTTTTTTTTTCTTTTAACTATCTCCTCCCAGTGTCAGGAATGATTTTGTAAGCACTTCCAGGAACTCAATCTTCCTCTGCCAAAATTGAAAAAAGAAAAGAAAAATAATTCAATGTTGTGCTCTCTGAATTTTTTTTGATGAATTGACAGAACTGTTAAGTTCCTCTGTTTTGTCTTTTAAACGTTAAAACAGCAAGCTACTAATTTTGAAGTCAAAATAATGATGATGAGAATTGCAGATGTCTTTTTGTACAAGCGTGGCTTCTATTGATCTAGCCACCTACCTTTCATTGTATCTTAGGAACTTGCCCAAGATGACATGAGGCGTCAGTGACTGACCTGTATTCAGGATCCAGAGCTCCTTCCACTGTTGTCCACTCTGCCGACTCTGGGGTGGTCTTCAGGGGCTGCACTTGCTGATGGGTACCTGTTTGCTATAAAGATACCTGCACAGGTATGGTGTGGACTCCGCAGCCATACTCAGAAAATATATTCATCCCTTCTCCTTTCATTAAGTATGTGTCACAAAGTATAGCTTGAAACTCAGGTGGGACAAAAAAAGGTACAAAAGATTACAAATTAAAACTAGGCTGAAGCAGGACACTGAATGCTCATGCCTGTAATCCCAGATACTCAGGAAGCTGAGATCTGAAACCAGATTCAAAGTCAGGCTGTACAGGAAAGTCTGAGACATTTTTTGTTTTTGGTCGGTTGTGGGGCTTGAACTCTGGGCTTAGGCACTGTCCCTGTGCTCTTCAATTCAGCTCAAGGTGAGCTCTCTACCGGTTGAGCCACAGTGCCACTTCTGGTTTTCGAGTGGTTTTTATTGGAGATAAGAGTCTCAGGGACTTTCCTGCCAGGGCTGGCTTAGAACCGCGATCCTCAGATCTTAGCCTCCTGAGCAGCTAGGATTACAGACGTGAGCCACAGACAATGTGCTTAGCATCAGTTATCTCTTCTATAAATTTAAGAAGAAAATAATATTCATCCACCTTTCAGCTGGGAGAGCCAGAGGGGAACAACCAAAGGATGAAACCAAACAGTTATCTTTATGTGCCAAGAAACAGGTAGGATAGGAGATGCCCCGTGAGATTTAGTGACTCCTGCTGAGACTTCCAGGAATGTGGACAAAACTCAGAAAGGCAATGTGGGGAGCATTAGGACCTAAGATGTGGTCCTTGTCATGATGGACTATCACAGCTCAGAAACACTTCAGAGCATCATCATCATCATCATCATCATCAGATCCTGTGTTAGTTTAGTTTCTGCAGTCCCTGGGATGGAGTACAGGGCTGTGCGCATGCTAGGTTAGAGCTCTTCCACAGAGTTTTATTCCCAGTTCTATGTTTTTGCATTGACCCATTTTACAGACATAGGAGAAGAGTTCAGAGAGGTGAATGTGCCAGG